GGAGTTGCTCTAACATTGGGCGGGCTGTAGAAGAATAAGCTCTCTCCAAGATATATAATTAGAGTGCTACTATTTCCACTCACTTGTCTTATTTCTCTGCCACCTTATCTTCCCACCCACCATGTAAATTTGAAAAAAAAAAAACACAATCATATCTTTCCACTCACCATTATTCCTAAAATACTCTTTAATTATTAATTCAAAGCAAATTCTCTCAAACAACTTATATCTGTTTCACTTCCTGGCCCGTATTAAGGAAAACCCCCATTTCTTTCCTCCAAGCCAATTGTGGTTCTTTTAAAAGTTCAGGAGGTGACGCATGGGCTTTGTGATGAGAGGGGTTGTGTGCAGTAGAAGAGGGGATTTGGTTATTTATTTATTTTTAGGTTTTCTTTAATTTCTTATTTATTTATTTTAATACATATGTAGTTGAAGAACATGAAGTTAAAGCATGGGTTCGAATGCTTATGGTCCCCAGGCTCCTATCATGTTGATCTCCCTCAATCAAATAATACCAATCGCTTGTGGTTTGAAGCAAATAGACGAAAATTAAACAACTTCATGACATAGAATTTTATGAAATCTTAAAAGGACAATAGGAGCCTTTGAAGGGAAAATTAATTTTGCCCACATTTGTTTCGCAGAGAAAATGATAATACCTTTGAGAGAAATCAGATTTATAATGGAAAAATAGAAAAACTTTGGGAAGCTTTTAGAAAACAAAGAGATGGCTAGATGAGGAAGAAGAAGTTGTGTGCAATATGCGGGTCAAGAATTTAAGTTAATAAAAGGCTCTATGTATTGTGAGATTAATCCAATGGCTGGTATAAAATGGTTGCCCGCGCTTAGGTGAGGGAGATTGGTTTTGTCCCTAAGTCCTTAGAAGTCATTTTATAAATGAGTAAATTTGTCTGTAAAATTTTGAAGATAAGGTAAGTGGGAAAATAGGACAGATGGGTGGAAATAGCAGCACTCTATAATTATTGATAAATAAAACAAATCTAGATAAGCGAGGATTATCCGTAAAAGAATCATGAGATTGAAGTATGAGCGAGAATCAAAATATGACTAATCATGAAAGAATTACTCAAAAGATTATTGGAGGTAAAGATGGGATTAAAATAATAAACATGACCTTACTCTATATCTTACCATTTTTCAAATTTGAATTTGAAATTTTTGGTGTTGGAAGTCGAGAGAGAGTGAGAGTATGTTTAAAACTCACTCTTTTTTTTTTGCTTTTTTTTTTAAAAAAAATATAGTAAATCATATTTAATGTGTTCAATTTTGCATTTATGATTGAAGGTGTGCTTATTCTCGTATGACATCTCATATCCATCACTTAACCAAAAATCATCAGTCCTGATTTGTTTGGATTGACAATTCCAATTTACTACTCACCCACTAACTACAACATTTTTTTCTTACATAACCTCCATAAGGTAAGTACTAATAAACTACTTCATGATAAAATATTAAATCTTTTATAGCAAGAAATATCAGATTTTAGTTTTTTTTTCTCTCTCTCTCTCTTATCCCAATGCTCATAAATCTTAATCTTTTTTATACATGTTCTTTTGATTATTTGACATGTGATTAACTAATAATGATATAGACGTGCATCTACAATGCCAATTTGCTTTGTTTGGATGGTCATATGTAACTGTAGCTGTCATATAACCAATGGTACCTACCTATCATCAATCACAAGGTAGAGATGAATCCCCCCATGAAAGCTACCAAAAGCAAGTTTAAAGTAAGGTAATTCCATTATAATTTCTCGACCACGAAATAAATGACCAATTAGCTTGTAAGAAATTACTAAAGTAGTTGTTAGTCTACTCGTACTTCTTTTCTCAACGCTGGAATATGTGATGAGTTTAATTACTCCGCCGTGCAAAAAACTTTCCAAAAAGGAAGCAAGACCAGCATATCATATGTATGGTTTCTAAATTGAAAGTCTGGGATTTGCTAAATTCAACTACTTCACAAGTTTACACTTAGTTCACTCAATGCTGGAATATGTGATGAGTTCAATTACTCCGCCGTGCAAAAAACTTTCCAAAAAGGAAGCAAGACCAGCATATCATATGTGTGGTTTCTAAATTGAAAGTCTGGAATTTGCTAAATTCAACTACTTCACAAGTTTACACTTAGTTCACACCAAGTCAATAAGTCACTAAACTGATGGTCGACATAAAGATTAAAAATAGTAAACAAAAAGAGAGCAGCTAAATTGATAGTCTGCAATTCTGCAGTGAACACGTGTACAATTCAGTTGGATGCTGACTTGTTGATGCTGACTCAGACAGCCTCTGGGGGAAATTCCTGCAGCCAATAGGAAGTTGCCATGCCAGAGACTGGATTAGGATGCACCTCCACCACAAAGTTGAGACTGGAACCAAGACAAAAATAAATAAATAAATAAATATTGCATCCATCCCTTTCAGCTGGAGACATATATTTTGATTTGCCCTAGTCTTTTTCCCTAGCCATTCCATAAGCATGTTTCCGTAGTCTTTGTTTGCATTCAAATTGTACATATGATCTGTTCGTCTTCTTGTCTTGATCACCTTCCGTGATCAAAATCATAACTCAACAAAATTAAGAAACTTCCGGTCCGGAAGATAAAGCTTATCCTATATGACGATTATATCTTTAACAATAAAGTATTTTAGAGACGAAGTTGATTTCTCATGTTTACATAAATTTTGGGTTACATGGATGTTAAATTAGGAGTTACCCTAATTAAGAGCATAAAATAATCACTTTAAATCATATGTGCAATCTTTCTTGACAAACAAATGATATATATGAATTATAAACCAACCCAACCCAACTACTTTTGGGTTGGGTTGATTAAATTATTGGGTTGAGTTAGTTGAACTATCGGATTTGGCATTAAGCCCCGTTAAAACGCCTTATTTTAATAAGTATGCGTTTATTAAGGGTCTCAAAACACTGTATTCTACATGAATTTCCTCTTAGTAGGAAGAACAACTATAAGTAGAAGTTCCTATGAACGAGGAGTTCCCTTAAGATAGTAGTGTTGGGGAGTTATAGTAGTGGAGGTTTCACGTCCTCCACGACCCCTTCCCAACCTCTAACTGAGCCATCTAGCTGCCTTTCGTTAACGAGGGCTGCCTTCCTCTCAGGTTCACCTCCCCTGAGGAATAGGGAGCCCCTAAATTTCTTCCTATTCTAAAGCACGGAAAACGCACTTCCTTCATAACCTTTTTTGTCTTGATCCTCAGTTAAAGAACACTCTCCTTCTTTCAAAACCGGAACGCTTTCATTACTTCGGTTCTTCACTCAACTCAAAAGCATGCCAGAAGTTATGGTCCGAGGAGCCCAAATTATCTTGAAAACGAGGGGGACGTCCGAGGTCCTTATGTTGAATAAGAATATAATTTTTCTTCTCAAAATTAAAAAAAATGGTGATAAATATATATATATATACATATTTTAAGAAATTAATTAATGTATATACAATATAAATGCACTACAAATGTATTTTACTAGCTACCAATTGCATGTATATGTATTGCAAGCGTAACGGTTACACATTTTGTACATCACATGCATACGTGCCCTACTTGATCTTGATCCAACAGTTAAGTTTGTTGTGCTCAACTTAGGGCTTCGTAAAATCAAAACAAGATCCTCACCCTTCTCAATCTGCTCTCTCCTCCTTGCATGAACATCTCTCACAACTCTATCTTCTCATCTTTCTTTTGCCTCTCTCTTCATCCATCTCACCTATCGTGCATTATTGATATCGAAGGGACCACGACGAAAAACATGAAGGTAAGATGCGTTGTAGTTCAGTTGAGTAAATTTTTACACGATTTTATAAATATTCTTCTCAGTTGTGGTATAGTTTCTTATTTCAGTTTACACAAAGTTCATTTCAGCAATTTGGGTAAGTTGTGCCTTCATGATTTCATGTTTTTTCTTTCTTTGTTTTGTTTCCCCCAGCCCTTTGTGTGGGTGGGTTTGCTAGTTAAGGATTTTAGGAGTTGCAAGGCTAGAGCCTGTTTGTAGTCTTTGTTGTTGGGCTCTGGCCCCATTTCAACAATTCATGTTTTCTTTTTTATGGTTGAAAAATTAGAATGGAATTTAAGGGTATGTTTGATCTATTTTCTTCTCCTTTTTTTTTTTCTTTTTTTTTTTTTCCAAAAAAGGTTTTTGTAATGGGTTCATAAATAGGCTAATTTTCGGACAGATCGGATAGGAATAAGGGGATTCCAATTTCAATCCCAAAAAAAATATCGAAATGAAAATTCTATTCCAATTCCGTTCCCAAAAAATTCGGAATTTCAATATCCATTCCAATTCAGAAAATTTTGAGCTTACATATTTTGAAATTTTTTAAGAAAATTTTGGAAACTAGTTCAAATTTCTAAACATGTCCAACCATTTGAAGGAGTAAAATTGACTCAAAATTGAAAACTCATACGATAAGCTTGGAAAACTATTAGATGATAGTATTATATGTTGTTATCCATTGTGAAATAACTTCTCCATGTCTATCTGGTCATAAAATTATATTTAGTTTAACATGAAATTAGTAATTGTGTGTAGTCTAAGCTTGAAACCCCAATATATTTTGGAATTCAGAATTTTTCCAAATCTCTAGATACATTCCAATTCCAATTCCAATTCAATTTTTATTAGAATTTTCGGATTTCGGATGTTAGAATTGATTTGGACTTGCCAAAATTGGAAATTGTCGGAATGGAATCAGATTTTTCAATCCAACTTGCACCCCTATTCATAAATTTTTATTTTAAATACTTACTGCTCTTTGTGAACATTTTCTCTACCCTGAAAAATATCTCTGTCTATTTCAACCACACACTGTAAATTTTTATTTTATTTTTATAAACTCTAATTTTGAATGTTCATAATCTTAATTTTCAATTTACAAAATGTAAGGTTTCGAATTTTGATTGGATGGAAACATAGAATATACTCCACTTCCACTATATAATAGGGCTTTATTTACTTGCGATTCTTTATATCGAGTAAGAGCATATGTTCGCGTGGAACTTATTTATTTATTTGTTAAGGAATTAATTACTCATTTCTTGTTTTTCCACAGGTGTATTTCGATTTTAATATTTGATATCAGTTGCAGTAACAGGTTAGCTCATCCATAAAAATGATGACACTCAAACCATAAACAGCCGCCGATCACCCTGTTTTGCCGGTAATCTTCTTCTTCCTATATATACATGTGAGTGTATGTGCGCGCGCGCATAAATAAACTGTAAATACTTGACTGATATGGAAGACTGAGAATTTTGTGTTAGGATTTGATCACCATGATTTGTTTAGTTGGGTATTTAAAGTTTTCTTCTTTCTTTTTATCTGGGTTTTGGCTGCCTCAGTAAATTTTACAAATTAATTGTTGCTATCTGTGTGTGGTATTTGCCTTCAAAGCAATGTATGGTATGCAGTTATTTGATGCCAAAAGCATGAACTTTTCTAAAACAAATTGAGGATATGAGAAATTGAATGACATGCATATAATGATATGTAGGTTGGAGAGATATCAACTTCCAACTGCACTTCTAGTTTCAGAGAGCTGCTTGTGAAAGCACTTATTTACAAATCTTCCATCAGAGTTACTTCTCAAGAATCAGTCTTCTGCCACTGTGTGAGATGGGAACGCATAAGAATAGAGATAGGATTAGCTATCTGCCTTGGGATGTATTGGACAACATCCTCGTTCGCTTGAATTTAAAAGAAGTTGTGAGGACTAGTATCTTATCCAGTAACTGGAGACATAAATGGACTGGCATTTCACAGTTTGTTCTTGATGACAAATGCATACCGATACGGATATCGGACAAGGTGGCAAGATGGGGATCCATTATGGAAATCATCCGTCAAGTTCAGTTATGTCACGACGGTGCAATAGAGAAGTTTAAGCTTGCTGCTTATTGCCAGCCAGACCATTCTGATTTAGACCAGTGGATTCGTTTTTTAACAAGCAAAGGCCTCAAGGAGTTGATCCTGCAGGAGTTTGAGGTTGGAGCTTTTTGGTTGTAGATTCAAGCCATCTTCTGTAGTCAATGAATTTAGGAGTCTCACAACCCTCCAGCTCAATCAAGTTTGTATAAGTGGTCGCATGCTAGAGTGTTTAGTTAGTAATTCCCCTGTTCTTGAAAGATTGATTTTGTTGGATATTGATCATCAAATTGTTCTTCGAATCCGCAACCCGAATCTCAAGTATCTGAGAGTAGATTCCAACTTTGATGATATATGTCTTGAGCACAGTCCATTACTAGCTACTGTTGACATTGGCTTGAGGGTTGGGGTCACACCCCAATTCGTCAATTCTGGAGGAGGCCAGTTGGTCAGGATTATTGGCCGTCTACATGCTCTTAGGAAACTTACCCTATCCAGTGCCTTCCTGAGGGTAAATTTTATCGTTTTCCGCTGTTTCTTTTCAGCCTCTATTTTTTATTATTATTAATTTGTCTGGCTTAATAACTTTTTGTATCTTATATGATTGTTGCTTGCATTTGTTTCTGCTTCCTAGTTTCTGGGTAATATTAGCGTACCAGACAGACTTCCTACTTTGCTTCAACATCTGTCAGTTCTTGAGCTCAAGGATGTAAGGTTGGATAGTATGACAGAAGTGATGGTTTGCATCTGCATTTTTAGAAGCGCTCCAAACTTAGAGAAACTGCTCCTTTCAGTAAGTTTCTCTGGACAACTAGCAATTTAATTCAAGCATATTTCATCTGTTCAAGGACTTTGAATTACAAGACTTTGGTTTTTCTCTTTTATTTTTTCGATTTTTGATTTTGGACTTTTTGACTAATAGGTTGCTGGTACAACTGCATATTCCAGACCTAACGTGGAATTTCTCATCACAGAGTCTTTGTCAAATCTCTACTTTGAACGACTTAAAGAAGCATCTATAAGAGCTGTACAAGGCGTTATACCGGAGTTGATATTGATTCAGTTTTTACTGGCTCGATCGCCTGTGCTCAAAAAAATGACTATAGTGCATTATGGAAGTGAAAGGCTACCTGGAGAATCGTTGCAGCAATTTGTGCCAGCTTCAAAGGATGTGAAAATTTTCAACTTATCAATGTGAAAGTAGCTCCTCTTGTTACATTCTAACTTTTCTTTTTGGTTCAACTTATACTGGGCACCCTTCTTTTAGTATAAAACAAGCTCTTCAATGGTTTTGCTTATTAACTTGATTATGTTAGTGCCAGTCTTTGGGGATGGAGCTATGTTCTCATGTTCGGCAGTTCGGCAGTTCGGCAACATAGCGTGCTTGACTCTTTGTTTAGCAATATAGCAAAAACTCTGAATCTAAGAATGTCAGTTTATTGAAGAAGAATCTGTACAATTGGAAAAAAAAAACATCAAAATTTTTTAAGCTCTGACACCCTGCTAATATACAACACAAACTCTTAATATCCATGTAACCTAATAGCTTCAACTATAACTTGTTGCTATGATATGCTTTCTTTTAAAGCATAAATTTTTCAAGTAGGAAATCACCTTGGACCAGAGAGTTCCATTGCTTGCACTAATAATGAAGAGTCGTCAGTGAGATCAGAGTATCGGTCTGAGGATGAAAACTCAGGGGCTTTGCTCTTTGTTGATTCAACTCTTTGAGAGGCTTCCCATCTTTCCACAAGTCCATCACCTTCAAGCATCCTTACCACTTCAGACATTTTGGGTCTATGGCCAGGAAGGTACTGAGTGCACAAGAGTGCTACTTGAACCATTTCCTCAAGCTCAATCCGGTCATAGTTGGTTTTGAGATCCTTGTCCACAAGCACCTCAAGCTTCTTTTCCTGATGAATCTTTTTAACCTGTGATCAAATGAATTGGACTGTCAGTTGGTACTATATGAAATTCAAAACTACCTAGGAGTGGTGTTGTGTGCTTACCCAATCAAGTATGGCTCCTTTCTGGTTAGTTGCCTTGCCAAATTCTAGTGCTCTCTGGCCTGTGATTAGTTCAAGTAGAAGGATCCCAAATCCAAAGACATCTGTTTTCTCAGAGGACTGTCCTGTAGAAAGATACTCAGGGGCTATATGCCCCACGGTACCCCTCACAGCTGTGGTGACATGTGAATCTTGGTGATCCAGAAGCTTTGCCAACCCAAAATCTCCCACCACAGCTTCACAGTAGTCATCCAGAAGTATATTTGCAGCCTTCACATCCCTGTGAATTATCTTTGGGTCACACTGCTCGTGAAGGTACAATAATCCTCTTCCAGCTCCCAAGGCAATCCGCTTCCTAGTGCCCCAATCCAAGACTGGTTTCCCTGTCAGAAGATCGGTGAGATTCGAAATTAGCAACACATAATAGGCACTCTGAATGGTTAATTACTGTTAGTTTTAACTTATGATGTCTTACCTTTGAGACGGGAAGCAACACTGCCGTTGGACATGTATGGATAAACTAGAAGTCTTTCTGTTGGCGTGATGCAAAAACCATATAGCCTGAGAAGGTTGCGGTGAACAGCTAGGCTGATCATTTCAACTTCAGTCTGGAATTGAATCTCTCCACCAAGTGCACTACCATCTTTAAGCCTCTTGACTGCCACAAAAGTTCCATCTGGGAGCGTTCCTTTGTACACATGTCCAAAGCCACCCTTTCCTAGTATGTTCTTGCTGCTGAAGTTGTGTGTTGCAATCTGAAGTTCTCTGAAATGGAATCTCTTCAAGTTCCCAAGGGAAATTTCCTCATGGTGCCTGTCTGAAATTTCACAAGATAGGGCATTAAGTAGAGGGTTGGTTATTCAATTACTTTCCCAGTACACAAAAATTGTTGTATTAATATTTCTGTTGATGGTGTTATATATCATCCAGCAGGTACCTTTAACATCAAAAAATGCCTGTTGGTTGCGCCTTTGCCTCCACCATATAACTACTCCAAATCCAAGAACAATGAGGCAGAGGCACCCAAGGCTCAAACCAAACACAAGCGCTATTTTGTGACTTCTAGGTCTTCCAGGAAGAGTAGCTTGAGAAGAACAGAAAAACCGAGGTCAGAATCAAAACCAAATATCACACGAACAATTGAAACTGTTAACTGTGGAAGTTGGAAGTAATTTATGCAAAAAAAATCTGAGCACAAATTCAAAGTCCATACTTTGTGTACTATTCAGGTTCATGGACATTGGCATCAGTGTCGTCCCATTGCAATCTGCTTCAGCCCCCGTTGCACATATCAGAGGATTTCCAATTATGCTGAAACAACAACGAGAGGGGTGGAGAGAACTTAGTAAATCAATTCTCTATTATGAGAGGGGGAGAGAGGGGGAGAGAGAGAGAGAGAGAGAGAGAGAGAGAGAATACTTGAACGTTTTGGCAGCAAATCTAGGCACAGGGCCACTCAGGTTATTGTAGGATAAGTCCCTGACTTGCACAAGATCACAGAATAACAAAATCTTACTTCAGAACCACAATTTAATTAGATACATATACATATAACCGCACTAAGATAGAAATGGTTGAGAGATTTACAGAAAGGCAAGCTGGCTCATGTTAGCCAACGACACGGGAAATGCTCCGGTGAGACTGTTATTGTTAAGCCTCCTAAAACCCAATTGAAATAATCTGTATTAGCTTTACAAACAAATAGAGACAATACTTCAATTCATGTGCACGGATCACAGATACTTACAAGTATTGAAGGCTTTTCAGGTGGCCAAGAGAGGAGGGAATTTCCCCAGTGAAGAAGTTGTTGGAAATATCAAGTGTATGAAGCTTTGAGAGCCTCTCAATATCCCGAGGGATTGCTCCGGTTATGTTGTTGTTCTGTAAGAGCCTGAAAAGTAAAGCAGAACACCATACCTTATTAAACACAATAACAAGAAGAACTGAAATTTTTTCCAGTTGTTGGAGAACTTACACAATCTGAAGATTTGTCAAGTTGCCAATACTTGGAGAAAGGGTGCCAGATAAACTTTGGCTAGGTGTGCCTCTGCAAAACAAAGACCATTTTAACTACTTCATAATGCATTCATTATATTTTCTCATTTCCTAGTAATCATAGCTCTCAAATGAATTTAAATTTAAAGAACAAAAAAAAATTGCAGGAGACTCACAGGCCAATAACCAGGCTTTCAGGAGAGCAAGTGACCATTGTCCAGCTACATGGATCAACAGAGTCGTCATCCCAATTATCTAACACACCATGAGGATCCACCAGAGATTCCTTTATGTCCATTAAAGCTTGAACTGAGATAAAAAAAAAAACACCCAGATGAGGATTCTGCACTTTCCTACTAATTAGTGCTATAAAAAATGAGCCTTGCTGTTGCAGATATATGAGGGAATGAAAGAAGAAAAATTTGCGAAGTTACCTTCAAAGTTTACACCTTTGGGAGAAAGCAATCCATTTCCATACGTCCAAGACCACAGAAATGCCATGAAACAGAGAGCAGCTTTTGCTCCCCTCATTGTCATTGTATATCAAATATCACAAGTACCAGATAAACCCAGATGCTGAAGGCGGCTTATGCTGGCTGGTAGTGCTACTAGAAAAACAGAACCTCAATTGGGTTTATTTCTTTTTGTTTAAGTTGATCTTCAAATTGCAACCCCAACTCTTCTTGCTTTCTCTCCATGCGAGAATCCCATTCATCGAAAATCTTTGTGTCAGACCCAAGAAAAAAAGCCACTTCTTTTGGTGGTATAAAAAGAAAGAACTAGCATGCCTGTCATTGAGTCATGAGGCTGTGAAGAAAAATAATATATAAATAGCTACTCCTAAACTTAAAAGAACAATTTGAAAGGCAAGGAGAGAATAGGAAATTCAAGATAGTACATGTATGTCAAGGTTCATACTGGTTTGAATCTGAGACCACTGGTTCGTAAATCAAGATCCTTGGCGATAATATAATATATGTATATGTTAAGAATAAAGGAAGAGACACACATACTCGTAGTAAAGTTCAGTGATTTGTACAAAAAAAAAAATACAGAAAATGAAATGCAGATTAGTATTTTTACATTTTCCAACAATGGAACAAAATTTTGTTTTCTGGTTAGCCAGCCAGTTTTGAGTCATATATATCACCTACCTAGAGATGGGTGCTGTTACTTATTATTATCAGTGTGTGCTTTTGTATTTTATTGGATTTACGTTTCTCAAAAGTTGGTCACAAAAATGATGAGTCTGTATTTGTACGTGGAACTGGGAAATGCCTTGCTTGAGACTGTGAGGGAATCCAACATTCCCTGAGCTTGGCCATTCAGTAAAGTTACAAAAACATCGTCTTCTCTTTCAAGGAAATGAGAATGTGAGAATCTCGAGGGGATGACTGATGGTTGATAATGGATTTGGTCACCCACCACCATGACTCATGACCCATGACCATTAGAGGATCTTTGTTAGAATTTTTGTTTTTGATTTTTTTAATGTACACACACACACACAAATAATATTATTTGTTGTATAGCTTAAATATTACTTTTTATGGAGCTTTTTTTTAATCATAATTTGGTTTCTTTTGTGCTGGAAATGTTGGATGTGCTTTATAGATTCCACAAACCACTATCAGCTAACAAATCACACATGCTATCACCCTCTTTGCCCTTCAGCAGACAGTCATTCCCCAAAATTTGTTCAAAAAGAGAAAAACTTTGAAAAGCAAAAGCTGCCATCAAAAACGCTTTTCTCCAGGACACTTCTCTCCCTCTAAATTATTATCGCAGCAAATAATGATACTATTTCACATTTCAAGCTCTCCAAGAAAGTGTTAATCTTTTGCACCCATCCAAATTATTTTGTAGACAAATCCCGGGAATCAATCACTCTTCCTATGTCATCAATCTCTCACTAGTAGGAGAAAGAACCATGACAAGCCAAAACCATGTATAGTTAGACACCTAAATGGCTCAACTTCCAAATAAGAAAAATTATTGTCTACGTCATCTTGCAATATACATGTAACTTTCGAATTTATATGAAAATTTTATGTGCATGTCACGAGAAAGAGGTTATATAACTATAAGTATATCACGCAATGAAAAAGAGACACACTTAATTATATATAATAAGCGGTTACATCTAATTTTTTTCGACTGATGAATTGGAGTTTTTATTTTCTAATCCGGGTTATTGATGTTAAGGACCCCATGTAACAAATAGCCAAACATATTGTAAGCAACAACAAGAAATGAAATTGACCAAGCAGAAGAAAAGAACAGAGTAAATTAATAATATAGGCAGGGCAGCTAAGGCATTATTGTCCCTTTGTTCACATCACCTCAATCCCCCAAAAAAGGCACACCCACTAGTAGTAGTAGATTCTCATTGCTCAGGACCATAACCTTAGATTTTGAATCCAAATACCCCAAGATAAAGTTTTAACCCACCCTTTGTCTGCATTGCATGCCCTTTTCTCCCTTTATTTTTTTCCTTTAAGAAAATTGACATTGAGACAATGATACAATGCGGGTGCTGTATGATACCGGATCAAGAACAGCCTACAGAAAAAGGACAACTGCACAGAAAGGTGATTTGGCTGCTAGTCTTTGCGTGTGGCATCCTGTGATTGGCTTGGTGAAGCTATTTTTTTCGGTATGGCTCCCCCCAGCTAGCAAATGGAGGCTAATCACAATCAGCAATTGCATTTCCATTAAGAGGAAAACATAGTCATGAGGATCGCAGACATAGTTGAATAACTTTGGGCATGAAATGGGCATTTAGTTGTGTGACGCTGATTGAACAAGATATGTATATTTGCATGATAAAGGCAATTAGCCGTATATCCTTTATGTTTGCTAACTCATTAGGTTTGGGCCAAATCGAATATCGTTCATGAAATTTGAATTCATAAACTTCTCCAACAACATGAAAACTAAATGATACTAATTCGAATGATCATCGGCCAAGTTAACCAAATATTCTGTGCCAAAATCTAATTATTCGTGTCTAGTGCTAATCTGTCATTTGTTTTAATAATCTATCATTTACGATTTTGTGTTAAGTAATGATCTAACTTAGTAAGATTCTCTTATAAAGATCATCACCTAGGTAGGGTCCCTTTTAAATTGTGGGCAAGCTGTCTTGTTGTGCCTATTTTGTTTGCTTATGCACTCCGCAAGGGTTTTACAATATCATTAGCAGCAACCTCCATTTTTCTCAAAACCATCATTAATTTAAAGCACTACGAAAATTAACGTGTTTCATGATTTTGCAACCAAAAACAAAATCCAACTTTCATTGTTTACTGTTTCTATGCCCATGGGAAGAAAATTGTGGGAATAAAAAAATTAAAAAAAATTTGGTCATTCTTTTAATTCCTTATTCATAAACTAAACCCATGAGAGTTTTCAAACAATAATTTTTATATTTTGATATGGAAAAATGTTTAAATATTTTATCTTTTGTTTTTATGTGGTGTGGTGGTATGCAAACAGAGAGAGTGAACCAAGTGCATCAGCCAAATGAGTAGGAAATAATTGTTGCTCCACTAGTTAGTTGGTGAGGTTTGAACAAATTCAATGGAAGAAGAAGAGCCCCTTTTGATCTCCAAGCAAAGTACAAGCCCACATGCTTCTTGCTTTTGTGATTTTGGCTAATGCCATTGAGTATGTGAAATTACAGAGCAAACAAGCTAGGGTTCAGAAAATTTAGACCTATATGGCATGTCTCCATATATCACAAGCTTTGTACTTATGACAGTAGAAATCTGATGCCCACTACAAATGGTCAACAAAAAAAAAATTGTGGGTTCATGATTTCATATGTCTTTTTAGTGTCTAAGCTATAGAATCCAAGAGCAAAGTAATGATGGCAATGCTCATGCTTCATTGACAGGATTATATTAATGAGCCCTCAATGTATAATTAATGGCTGATATCAGAAGTGTTATTAGAAACATCTTGATAGAGTTGTATATTCTGCAGAAGACTAGCAATCATGCTGTGTGAAGGTATTAAAAGTGCTTTTTCTGAGGGACAATGGGCATCTTTTGTGTGGCCCTAAGAGTGAACCCTCTGGCCCTCCTCATTACAATAATGATTCCCATTAACAATTGTTTCAAATTGTGATAAGCTCTTTCTTTTTCTCTCCCCTTTTCCACTTGTGTTTTCTGTTGTAAGGAATGGTTTGCTGTTGAAGAAAACCAAACTCTTTTTTCTGAAATTTCCAAATTCATAGCAAAGAAGTGACCCTAGACCCGTAGAATTCTTGCTTGAATATATGGTCTACGATTCAGCGTCGGACAACATAAGATAGCACGCTACGAAAAGAAAACATTATCCTTTAACATGCACTACTTTGGTATTATACGTATGTTATAAAATTGATAGATATGTTAACAACGACAGCATTGCACTGTCGTCTAGATTCTGAGACGATATTTTTATTGTCCTCTGGTTTTCTCACTGATTGAATCAACATGGCCTTATGCGAAACTCTAAAACTCCAAAGGCTCTAGAAGGTGATTTCCTGAAGTTGTTTGAAGTGGGGTCGTTCACAAGAAATCTAAAGCGATTAAAATGTTCACAAGATGAAAGACATTCATGGTACAAAATAGCTTAGATAAAGCTAAGTTTGAGGGAACATGATGCCCCATCTTTTTCCACTTTGTGTTTTTTGTGATGGATGATGTTTTTAACATCTTTAAGAACCTAATAGATTCATCAGTGATCTGATCATCCTACTTTTTTTTTTTTTTTTCCTTTTACCAAAATTATTTTGTCTATGAGCCCATGCGTCTCTCTTTACTCTTTATCTCTGTAAAAAACTGTTCAAATAATAATGTTGGTTTCAACCCCACCTTGACTATGGCTTGTTTTTCCTTTTTGGGTGGGAAAATTTGCCTCCCAAATAGTTACTGGCACTTTAATAAGTCATGGAGTCGGCGGGCTTGTAGCTCAATTTATTTTTACATCCGAGGTCCCGGGTTCAATTTTCCCTCCCCCAATATCGCTTGTATAAAAGGGGTTAAAGATTATAGCCGTTACTATGGATTAATGGGCCTAAAAAGAGATGTATGTTTGTGTAGATAAACAGTAAAACTGCTCTGCATTGCATTTTATGTGGAAGCTTTGGGCTTTGGCACCTCGACCGAGAGACATGGCACGTCTCCTGCAAAGTCAGCAGAACAAGGGAGCACCAAAGTTGTGGCTCAATAATTCTGCACAAAAGATAAAAGGCAAGCTTCAATTGTCCACATCTTGGTCCCTTCACTGCACAAAACTTGTTGTAAATCACAAGAAGATGGTATTTTGTCACATTGGGTGTACGAATATCAGTAGTCTTGTTTCTTTCCTGGGTTGAAGAATTCAAACAGAAAACTCCAACAAAAAATTTCTCATTTTCATGAGGATAGCTCGAGTGTATCAATTTATAGTGTGCAAACTGAGACAAAACTCCAAGAATCCACCGAATGGCATGTTCAGTCGCACTCATCACGTTTTGCTCACTGAAAAGTCTTTTAATCCATTTGGCTATCAGATTGGCATGCCTGTCTCAACGGAAAAAATTCTTATAGAATACAAAAGGAACAAGGAAAAAATAGAGCAGATTTAACATCTTGAATACGAAACCGGAAACAGAAAAGAAAAATAAATTGCATGGTCTTGAAATGAACAAAAAGATTAAGAACACAAGTAAAAAAGGCAGCAGGACAGGAACTTGTTGCAGTATGAATAAGAAAAGCATATCAAGATTACATGCGTGTGCAATTAAAAATGCAGATGTTCCCAACTTGAATTTTAATTGTTGATTTCTTCTGCGTATAAAACCAGCTTGTAAACAACTT